TTTAACCGTAAGTTCATGTATATTTAGGTAATCGGGTTTGCGGGTTGTGATAAGGTGGACTTCAATAATTTGGATTCTTGCACTTCACTTGGTGGAATTAGTATTAGAATGTTAGGGTTTGTAATCCAAGTGAGAATATATACATTTTAAGACCTAACTAGGAACGACTGCGAAAAATGCAGCACAAGGTCCTCTGGTAGGAATTGAACCTACGGCCCTGCGATTCCGGTGCAGCGCTCTAACCAACTGAGCTACAGAGGCCAGTTGTTGAGCTTTAACCGTAAGTTCATGTATATTTAGGTAATCGGGTGTGCGGGTTGTGATAAGGTGGACTTCAATAATTTGGATTCTTGCACTTCACTTGGTGGAATTAATATTAGAATGTTACGGTTTGTAATCCAAATGAGAATATATACATTTTAAGACCTAACAAGGAACGACTGCGAAAAATGCAGCACAAGGTCCTCTGGTAGGAATTGAACCTACGGCCCTGCGATTCCGGTGCAGCGCTCTAACCAACTGAGCTACAGAGGCCAGCTGTTGAGCTTGAACCGTAAGTTCATGTATATTTAGGTTATCGGGTGTGCGGGTTGTGATAAGGTGGACTTCAATAATTTGGATTCTTGCACTTCACTTGGTGGAATTAATATTAGAATGTTAGGGTTTGTAATCCAAGTGTGAATATATACATTTGTATATTCTCACTTGGATTACAAACTATTCTCATTTGGATTACAAAATATATACACAAAATATATACATGTACTATACATTTGTATATTCTCACTTGGATTACAAAATATTCTCACTTGGATTACAAAATATATACATGTATATATTCTCACTTGGATTACAAACCCTAACATTCTAATATTAATTCCACCAAGTGAAGTGCAAGAATCGAAATTATTAATTTCAAATGCCCCGCCGGGGCTAAGGTTCGAGTGGAAATACCCAACCCCCGGGATGTGCTTTACAGGAAAATGGCTGGGCGAGGGGGATGGGCACACTTGGATTTGGCTGATGCATTAAAAGTCATGGAAAAAGAAAAAAACTTTTCATATTGCTACTATAAAATGGCTCATTGTGCTTATTCCTGTGCTTATTCCAAACTGCTTGTCAAATATTTACTTGCTAGAAGTAGAAATTTACTCTGACCACTGGATGAAGAAGACATTAAATAAGTACTGGTCAATAAATAGAAATGTATTTTATTTCATAGTATTACAATTTTATTTTTATACTATAAAAATAAAATATAAACATGCGGCATAGAATATGCAAATTCGAGGCAATATTATTGTTGAATCGGTTTATTTATAGGATTTTATAACAAATAGCAACTATAAAAGTTTGTACCTTGTCTTCACATCGCTTTATTCTGTTAGCCAATGCTTTTAAATTTACATATTTTAGAATCAGTTCCTTTCCTGGTAACTGCATTTCTAAATGAAATCATCGTGAGTAGTGAGTGCTGAGCAGGCCGTTTTACTATAAACAAATTTTAGGAATTGATAAACAACTTTGAAAAATATATCGTTGCACATTCGGTCACAGTCGGAAAAATGTTTGTACCGTCGCTTGCAACTAACGATGAACAGTTGCTCATAAAAACATTCGCGTGATTAGAATCTTCAATGTTTGTCAAGAACAACAACACTTAATTGTTGTTTCCCATGTGTACAGTGGACAATAATAAGTAACAAAACTTTGTGTGGTCTGAACGTGTTGGGCTAGAGACTTACTGGAAACTTTTACAGGCCTTTTAATGAGAATAGAGAATGTTTTATCTGCAACTGTTCACCCTTAGTTGCAACCGACGGTATTTGACAGCATAAAATTGCCTGTGGCTGTGATAACTGATATAAATAAAATACAGTCTGGTTATACTGACTTGAGCGTGTCATGACAAACTCTTTATTGGAAAATTGTGAAGAAATAGTCGAATATAGAGGGTCGAATATCATACTTCAACTTGTATATATAGCTACAGTATCATTGGTACATAGCGTTGTGAAGACAAGCCTTTGCTTACCTTTCGCTTCAGCAGTCTTTTTTTCCATGCTTCTCTACGCTTTCCCAGGCGAGCTTCTCTTTCCTCAGCAGTCTCCTCGAGCAAACGTTGTCGTCTTCGCTAGCTCCCTCCTTTTCGCTAGACGTTCGGCTTTCTTGTCGTTTCCTTGCCGCTCTTCATTTGGCTCCATACAGTAGTCCATATCTTTTCAATTGGTATTTGATACCGTAATTGTTTTATTAAACTTTTTATAGAACAAATTGCTTTGAAAGCTGTCAAAGTTTTTTGCAAACGTACAAAATATTGCAGTGCAAAAAGCAAAATATTTTCATGAAGTATCTGTCAGTTGAAGTCGTCATTCGTCGTACAACAACCAATTTTAAATTTGACCAATCAGTGTTCGCTATTCATGACAGTCCGCCATATTTTTGAGATCAGTGAGGATGACCCGACCACCCACCGAAACACGCACAGTGACCCACGCCCGCGATATTTGATGAACTTCAGACTTCCCTAATGCTTTCGTTTCCCCGGGTGTAAATAGCCGGGGGGAATTAGTACCCTCGCACGGCGCTTCGCGCCGCCGGCTCGGGGAAAATAACTGGAGTTCATTCTGTTTATATTTTCTGAGAATTGCCAATATATTTCTTATAAACCTGAAATGTTGCTTGCACAACTTGCATTGTTTGAGGGAAGCCACAAGATATAACCGGACATGGCTTTGATGTATGCTGGCATTCCAATCCATCCTACCTCCATTATCTATGATTCTACTAGATCTACTATCTGACCAAGTTTGAATGAAAAATGTTGAAAACTCGCAGAGTTATTTAATAAAATACATTTCGCTGCAATAAGAAAAACATTGAAAATGTAATATTCAAATTCAATTTTCTCCCGAAGAATTTTACTTTAATTACTGATTTTCTAACGAGTTGTTCTCCTGCGAGTTTTAACCAAGTTCTAGCAAAATGAGGGGAAAATCTGGTTCAGGAGATGATGATTTTGTAGTAAATCCAAAATATGAGCACCTTCTATGGCTGAAGCCCTTTATAATCAGCAGGCAAAGCTCTGGAAATTTTAAGCTGTCTGATAAGAACATTAAGAAGAGTTCTACGTCTGATCAACCACCTGTGTCTGATAATGTTGATTCCAGTGAAGAATCACATGATTCAACAAACTCAGACGAAGGAAGTGATGACAGCATTGCCAGTGTTCAGAAAACTGTTAATCAAACTGTGGATGAAAGCATATGTACAACAAAAGATAGCACCAATAAAGATAGTACAATTAAACTTAGCACTCCTAAAGATAGCACACAAGGAAAAATAAAAAAACAGTGGAAAAACCACAAGCCGAAAACGAAAAATAGAGGAAAGCGATCGACAATTGGATAAGTCGATTGCAAGTCTCAATGAAAGCACTAAACTACGAGAAAGTTCCATGAAACGTGCAGATAAACAAGAAATGGATGAGGATTATATGTATTGCATGAGCCTGAGGAATAGGATGCGAAAGTTAGACGAAAAGAACTAGGCAGTTGTCCAAAGCGCAATAGAGAAAATATTTTTGGACATTCAGTTTGGTAACTACAATAATCTCACTATGCAAGATCCGATGCAGTTTACCACGCAACAACCCCTAATTCAATCCAGTTCACAAAATTTGCTGGGTAATTATCTGTGGACAGCATCTAACAATCCATTTCCAGCACAGAATGATCAACAACTTGCATGAATAATGCACTGTTTGTTGTGCTGTCAAGTTCAAATTGATCCTGTTTTTAGCACTGACATTTTTAAGTAGTTTAATATGAACATTGAACATATGAACACTTTTTACATGCTTACTCTATTTTTGAGAGAGAAACTGTACATAAAAAATGTTGTAGTTGGAGGAGTTCCTTGTTTGAGTTCCATATATAATGAGATGGTTATAACAACATTTACAAATTAGCAGCTATTTACATGAGACTTTTGCCATGGTAGCGAACCATTTTTACTATTAAAATAGTTTTTAAAATTGTCTCGAATATCCTTTGCTTTATTTGATGATCTGTTAAAAGCTCGACCGGTATGCGTACGTTTCAATGCACATTCTTCATCCTGGACAATACTTCTCCAGTCGCCAGGATTAATGTTTCCTGATGAATCTTCTGAATCGACAAAACCTGTTGGAATATATTGTGCATTTTCGGTTAGCCGTAAGTAATTGTGCAGGCATAAGCACGCTTTCACTATATTATCAACCGTTTCTGGTGCAGCTCTTATAGGCCTTGTAAAAATACGCCATCTTGCTGATAAAATACCAAAACAATTTTCAATTGTCCTTCGACAGCGACTTAACCTGTAATTAAAAACAGCTTACTGTTCATCAAGACCCTTTCCAGGGTAGGGCTTCATTAGCCATCTTTTAAGTCCAAAAATTTCGTCTGAAACAATCACATATGGAAGGTAATGTTTGTCCACTTCTGTTGGAGATGGCATGTTCATTTGTTTTGCGAGGAAAGCCTTTCCTATATCAGATTCATTAAAAATGTGAGCATCATTATCCTTTCCGTAATTTCCCACATTGACAAGTGTGAAGCAGTAATTTGCATCACACATTGCCATTAAAACAATGCTGAAAAAGTGTTTGTAGTTGAAATATTGTGATCCACTGTATCCTGGGCACTCTATAGCTACGTGCTTTCCATCGAGAGCCCCTAGGCAATTTGGAAAGTTCCATTCCGTGAAGAAGTCATTTGCTATCTTCTTCCAATCTTCCTCTGTCCTGGGTGGTTTAAGATAAATTTTATTGAGGGCGTGCCAAATATATTTACATGTCTCCCGTATTATGTTGCACACTGTTGTTCTTCCGACACGAAAATTAAACGATTGAGACTGCTGTGAATCTCCAGTTGCTAAATATCTTAAAGTTATTGTAAGCCGTTCCGCTGCTGTGATTGTTTTTCGACTTCTGCAATGTTGTTTCACAATATAGGGACCCACAAGTTGCAGTAAGTTCTCAAAACGATTAGGACTCATTCGAAGGAATCTTAAAACAAATATGATAGAAAAGTTCAGAATTTAGTCGAGTATTAATCCAGCAAACTGTGAAGCAAGTTTTATACTAACTAACAAATTGGAGACCAGTCATTTTAAGACGAAGTACTTAGATAAATAATAAAAATAAATAAATAAATTACCTGAAATAGTACTCCCGATCGAAAAGATTAAGTTCATTCACTAAATTATGAAATTGTCCTAATTCTTCTCTTCTTTCATAAATTTACCTCACCCAAAACCTCTTTTTTTATATCTTTTCCGTTTCAGCAGTTTTCTTTTTTTTAACAGAAGGGCAATAATCAATAGCATTTTCTTTTTGAGGAATAACCTTCTATTTAAGGCAGCCATCTTGCAAGATTAAAAACTCGCGCCAAAGAGCGCAAAAACTATCGGCGTTTGTCGGCGATAATCACAGTCCCTCATCGGGAAGTTGATTCGGCGATGATCGGCGATGAATTACGACATATGAAAACCAGGCTTAAGACCATGCACTTAAGACTACGATAAAATATTATCATAGAATTTACCTGTACAGTGGTTAAAATAGGCATTTCTCTCGAAGCTTCTTTAAATGCAAAGGGGACGACCGTGGACAAAAATAAATGGTCCTCCATAAAAATGATGTAGTCGCTATTTTGAAAGATGTTGCTAATAAATGTTATGTTTTTATATACACGTGCACATTTATGTGGATTTGTGAGGCCAAACCCCTATTTTAAGCAACGCACCAGTTTCATTAACTTTTGAAATTATTTTACAGCTTAAATTTATGTAAAATTATGCAGATTATAAAATCTGGTTGCAAATTATAAAATAATTTGTGCATTTCTTGTTAAAAATAAAAACCTTACTTGAGGGTCCTGAATGGAGGGTCCCAATCCCATTTCCCACCTGAAATTTTGGCAAAATCCCAGTCCCAGTTGGATTTTTATTAGAAATCCCAGTCCGAGTTATTGAAATCCCAGTCAACAAAAAACCCTTCATTCATCGGTAGAATAAACAGTTTTAAGACCTTTTAAATCACCGTGTGTGCAAGTGGCGGACACTTTATAAAATATTGGAGGGGCGGATCGTGCCGAAGGCATGGAAAATTTTTAAATTTGAATCCCGGAAATGGCATTTGCAGCATTCTGAGACACGCATAATCAGAAAACCCAGAATTCCGGGCGCCAGAGTGTGCCTGTTCGCAGGTAGTGCTGTGAATAATATAGTTAACAACAAAAATCATGACCAAAGACACCAAACACGGATCAAATATTGTATTTTAAAATACTTAAAACGTAGAAAAATTGGGAATCGACTCGCATTACCTCAATCCCATTCCCATTTTTGAGGACTTTATTTCCCATTCCCAGTGGCCAAATCCCAGTCCCAGCAACCCAAATCCCATTTTCCCAGTCTAAAAATAGATTAATCCCAGTTCCCATTTTACCCCTTCAGGGACCGCTTCCTTGATCACTATGCACGTTTTATACAAACAACAATCTCTTAACATTAGTCAATATATGAAAAAAAAAGATTATGTTATTTTTGTATCGGGAGGGGTATTTATCCCCCCCCCCTCGTATTTCTTTGAGCTTTCGTGCAGACATTCACTACGTACTGCTACCGTGCCTTACTAAAACAGTTTGTAGTTTTGCGTTTGTTTATATATACTTTACGGTATTCAGATTGTTAAAGTAAATGTGTAAAAATCATATCATAAATTCTGGTTGCTGATGCGTTCCCGTGGGCGCAGTCATACATTGAACGCACTTCTGGAAAATTTATTGTTTTAATTAAACTGTGCCAGATGGTTGGAAAGTGAACTGAAATCGCTTTGAATGGATTTAATAGCAGTAAAATACAAGACAATACATGTTAATTATTAAAAAGGTTAAAATTTGAGTAAGTAATACGTTTATTTACGTCTAAAATTATGGTATTTCAATAATATTCAAAAATAGGATTGCAAAGCCTGCACTAACCGTTGATGTCTACCAGCTCGCAAATTAGGAATAACCGGATATCTTACAAATAGAATTCCCATAGTCGTTGTTTCACTTGTCTGTACACTGGCTCGTTCACAGTCCCATAAATATATAGCGGTTCCATGCCCTTTGGCGTAAAAGGACGCCCAAGCATATGGGAATAAACCATCGCATTCCAGCAGTATAGTAGGTACCGTTCGGGCCGGATTTTTGAGGGTGCGTAAGGGTGCTGAGGGTGTGCTAATTAATATACATACAAATGAGGGTGCCTAACGGTGCGTGAGGGTGCATAAGAGCGGCGCATCATTAAAAATTCAGGGCGGCGCATCATCATTAGCATAGAATGAGGTGGTGGATCTCATGTGGGGTTTGTTCACTTAATATATGCAATGACGGCACTCGAGCAAGATCAGGCAAGATCGGACAAAAGTTGCTGACTAAACATTTTTTAGCGTCCCTCACCGTGTGCGATACAATAGAGGGATTAAGATTTAAGATTAGTTGCTATGAATAGTTCGAGTCCCTCACACGGCAAAATTGTTATCGAAATTAATATATAGCAGAGCTATAGCCGTATCTTTTTCTCGGAAGTGATAAATTTCCACAGGTATATGGAAGGATTTTTCGTATGTTTACAAAATTATAGCGAGGAATCCATTCGTCACAAAAATCGAGACATATTTTAAACAGAACTAAACAGTTGCTAATCCCGGGTTAACATGGTTGTCAACGTCGTTGTTATAGTCAATATTTGAATGTTGTTCAACATTATTTAGCCGAAACCTGCTACATACATATATACTGTAAAGATGACCGAGTCAGATCATAAGAAAGCTTATCAAGCTTATCAAGCTTATCAGGCTTATCAATTATCTTTTAGAACAGTTGTAACACATTTTGCCATAAAAATATGGTTTTATTAAATATGTGGTTGTTATATGCGTTGCTATGTGTTACCAGTCATTAGCGACACTTGGGTGCATGCATATATTAAAAAACAACATATTTGTACCCCAATCATGGGGCGGGTTAGGAAAATCGCGCGGTCAGGAAAGAGCGGGCTTTGCAGGCAAAAGTGTGCACATGATTTCAGTTTTAAAATACATTTATTTCTTCAAAACGTTTTACAAAATTTAATAAGGTCTACTTCTAAGAGCGTAACGTCTAGGTGTTTTCGTTATCTTTAAATATTTCTCACAATCTTGTCTATCTTCTGGGGATAATTTTGCAAGTTTCCTCGGCTTCGTTGGAATATATTTTGGTCTGTCGCTCAATATAAAACGTTCATAATCCTCTCTTGCTTCCAGAGTCATTCGTGCTGGGTCACGTTCGGCCAATCTGTTTCTGACCCAATTGTGGAAAAAGTTGCGCTTGAGTTTTGGTAGTTCCTCTTCTGTTGGTAGTGGCGTAAGGAAATTATGTTTAGGAGTAGCAGGCACTGGTGGTGTTATCTCAACAGATTCTTTGGGTTGTAACATCTCTGCAGGCGCTTGTGGGATACTTTGAGCAGAGGTTTCAGGAATTCCAGGAGAAGAATGAGCCATCTTATTTTTGAATATGAGAAACCGATTTAGCTGATCAGAATATAACTTGCTCCATTCCACTGTGGTAAGCTATGGCGCTTCCATGATTTCTTTCATTCTCTGTTCTGCATCATACATGGCATTTACAAGCGGCGGTTGACGATACGACTGTGTGTGTAAAAACTTTGCAATCTCGCAGAGAAGTACGTTGGTCTTAAGTCGATCTTGATCGCTTGTTGTTGGCTTTAAATCCAACGTTGTATTGTATTTTTATTTCACATCCCTTAAAAGGCTTTTCAGCGCAATTTTACATAAGTGATCTAAATTGTTCATACACCATAATTTAAATAGAAACACACACATAACAACACACAGTCAAACACACACATGTGGTCATACTACACAAATATATATGCTATTTACATCACGATTTGAGATGGTCTTAAACGTTTCTACGAGTCTCTGTTTTAAAATATTTTTGAAGTCTTTCGTTGTTTCGCAGGCCCTAATTTCCGGTTTTAAGGTATTCCAAATTGTGGCCATTCTGAATTTGAAAGATCCATGCGGTCGGCTCGTAGCATCTTCATAACTCCTCATAAATTCTTGTACTTTCCCGGGATTAATTTGCCTTGCAAGCATAGAAATTTGTTGTTTATCTCTTGGTAACTTGAACAGCACAATATAGAGAGCGTTAATTAAGGCTGATATTTCTCATTTCTTTGCCCTGATGAAATATATTTTGAACAATATAGATGATAGACAAATTTCGATGATGACATCCTTTCGTAAAAAGATCAGCAATACGTTTGTCTTTGCCGGATTGTGCCATGAGATCGTCCAAGTAATCTGCGTTGTCGATATTGACGGGAATGCCTTGATTAAACTTGATTCCAGGCATCGTTCTCATCATATCAAAATAGGAGGGTCGCGATTGACCATAACACCAAATGATACGTTGAGGAGGTGGACTTATAGTTTTCTGTGCATTCTCCAAGAGAGATTTCAGCCATGCAGTCTTACCGCTTTGGGTCGCCATGCGAATGTTGCCGGTTGGTTCTTGATCATGCACTTTTCGTTTGCGTCGATGTCAATTGAACGGTTTAGAGAAATATTTTCCACAGATATTATTATTATTAATGGTTTATTATAAAATCGTCGCGCTCGATGAAAGCGAATTGCGAAATTATTTACAAACGTTAGTTAAAAATATTAAAAAGTACCTTGTGTTACTGGCATTATATTACAACAATAGTTTACTGATTCATGAATTAATATCGAAAGAACTTTTAAATTTACAAAATTTACAAAATTTACAAATTATGTGATTGAATACACATAGTAGGAAAAAAGCTTTTCTTAAAGCGCTCCGTCTTACAAGGAAACAGTGTTAATCTATTTCCTACCTTAAATTACAATTGTGTTCATTGGCCCGAGAAGGTGGTATTAAATGATTAAGGCGTGAAGCAGGCTGTCTCATTATGTCAAAAGTTTTTATGCACAAACCGTCACGTCTTGCGCGTAATGTCGAACATTTGGCTTGGTCCAGAGCAGCGTTATAGCTTAATGTGGGGTAGATTATTCGCATTGTGCGCTTCTGGACCCGTTCGATTTTATCTGACAAGTTAATGGTCAATGATGAATGCCATGCCGGACAGCAGTACTCAAGCAGGGATCTAATAAGTGCAAAATATACTCGTAGTAAATGAAACGGTGAAACTCCACTGCGCTTGAGAACTCGTAAGATGTGTAGTCTTTTTGATGCTTTGGTTACTATCTCACTGATATAAAAACCCCACTTCAGATTATTCTGGCTCGTTAAACCTAATACTTTGTGGCATTCTGTTCTTTCAAGACTAATGTTTTCAACAACTAAGGTCGGTGGTGGCTGCTCAATATCTCATCGAAAGGAGACAATCATCTCTTTACACTTTTTGGGGTTCAATTTCATATTATTGGTACTTGTGCAATTACCAATTGCGTCCAATTCGTTTTGTAGTATAGATACCTCCCTTGTTGGGACAATCTCAGATATCGTCACGTCGTCTACGTACTTCCAAATACTGGAACGCAGGGATACTATTTTCAAATCATTAATCATTATGACAAAAAGGATCGGACCCAATTTGGTACCCTGTGGGACCCCAGCACTAGTTGAAAGCCATCGGGACACGCACTGTCCCAGCTTAACACACTGGCGGCGATTTGAAAGGAAGCAACAATTCCAAGGGATTATTTAACGGCGCACTCCCAAATCGATCAATATTGTTATAACAATATTGTGGTCTATTCTATTGAAAGCTTTGCTGAAGTCCAGAAAGCAAGCTCTAAGGTAATGACCTGGGTTGTCCATTTTAAAAAGCCAGGTGTGAATAAGATCTAGAAGGCAAAGGGTGGTAGATGTTCCCTTCAGGCTGCCATACTGACGATTATCGATTTGTCCACCTATGTCCTCAACCATCCAACTAACCACAAAGTCTTCGAGTACTTTCGATAACACAGGGGTAAGTGCGATGGGGCGGGTATCGCTCTCAACCTGGGTTTGTTTCGCTTTAGGAATGGGTATGATGGTAGAATCTTTCCATAAAACAGGTACTAGTCCAGAGGACAAAGATGTATTAAATATTGATGTAACTGGCTCAGCAAGTTCGTAGGCGAACTCTTTTAAAATTCGTGATGGAATACTGTCCGGGCCCATAGCCTTATTAGTCTGAAGTTTTAAGACCTTACTACAAACCTCATGAGGAAGAATTGTAGGAGGCGGCACCGCAGCTGGTAAGAATGTTGGAAGGCTTGAAATATCAAGTGGCGGGATATCACTTGCTACACTTACGAAGTAATCATTTAGAGAGACTGCCAGTTCACCTTCCGATAATAACTGTCCGTCACGCTCAATTGTAAACTGAGGTTCACTTTTCGCTCGACCTGACATTGTGTTAATAGTGTGCCACCATTGACGGACATCGTCTTTTCGCAAGTTATGAATTTTTTGGGTATAGAAATTATTTTTCCTGGTTTTGATCTCTATCTGGACCTTCCGTCTGTATTGGCGCCACAATTGCGCGTCGCCAGTGTGGAAAGCACGTTGGCGTTCTTTAATAAGTTGCTTTATGTGCCCAGTAATGCATGGTTTGTCCGTGGGATGAAATTTGATTGTGTTCACTCGAAAAAAGTGATCGAATGCAGTGTTCAGGTCATTGGTAAAAGATGACGCTAACTCATCCGACGATGGATTGAGTCCGAGTCCACTAAACCATTTATTCCTGGTTGACCATAAACCAAAACCATTCAAACCTGACTGAGGATACCGACGCACAGTCTGCTTTGTACACGTATTATTATTATCCTTAAAAATGTCTTTCGGGATCCACATGATTACATTATGTTCCGATGTTCCAAGTGGAGCAGAAATATCCGGTGTTTTGTAAAAGGATTTCAAGTTCGTAAGGATTCTGTCGTCGGACGCGTGACGACTTGCTTAAGGTTGTGACTTGTAACTAAATCCTGTATATTGAGACGATTAAAATCGCCTAAAACGACTATGCCACAATCAGGGTATTTAGAGCGTATGGTATCAATAGAGGACACAAGGCAATCGCAAAGTTTCCTCTGTTCTTGCACACTTTGTCCCGTGGATTATACACTGCACATACTGCGATTGCAGATAGCGGTCTCGGTAGGCGTGGTGATCGAGCCCACAACCACATACACTCTAGATTTAAATCTTCTAATTCCAAGTATCGCGTAATGGATATCTGCTGAGACACATAAACGCAAACCCCACCCTCACGGCCATGTGTCCGGTCCTTACGATGAATTACATAACCACCAATCGATATTTGATCGTCCCCTATCTCATCAGTCAACCAAGACTCCGTAATTGCGGCTATATGAACTTTGTGGACGGACATAAGTGCTGCAAGTTCATCAACCTTTCCATTAATTGAGCGTGCGTTCAAGCAGCAAATTCTCGGGAGTATAGCTTTATTTTGTTTTTGGTTTTTTTCATTATAATTATTTGTGCATCTAATACGGGTTAGATAGTTATAATTGACACCTCGCGTTTCTCTACGCCTTCTTTGCCTCACACGGCAACCAAAATTACGTGACGAAACTCTGACTTCTATTTGCTCCATTATACATGAGTTGAGAACTTCCCGTTATGGGTAATATTAGATCTAATTTCTCCTTTTGATTGCCAAATCTTGCAGTTGACAAACTGAGGCCAGAAATTTTGTTGTTGCACTAACGAACAATCGGCCGAACGAAAATGGATTTTAGCCGATGTCGTACCTTTTCTTTTGCTTGGAAAAACGGAAATATATGTAGGTGTTATATTCCGTTGTTTCAGATAGAAAACAATTTGACATTCTTTTACGTTTTCAGCTATCCCGCTTAACAGGTATTTATTAACTCGGTTACGTCTCCGATCAACACCAATAAACCCGTCAGCAAAGTCACTAGATGGATCATTGATTATTTGCAGAGAATTGTTTTGGGATTTATTGGTAGGAGATTTTTCAAGTGCGTTGCAGCTATTAAATGCAGTGCTAGATGTCACTACCTCCGCAAAAGTGGCCTGACTGTTGTTTCTTACTTGTTTATTATCGTATTTAATAGAGGTTGCAACTTCTGCTGACACAATGGGATTATTAACATTATGGTTATGCTTTAGATTGTCATTATCAGTTTCAATGAGGTTTAATGGTTTACCAGGATAACAGGGTCATTAGTCTCGCCCTCGTTTACATTGCACTCACCCCCATTGTTCATCTTGATTGGAATAATTCCATTGTTCGTTGTATGCAGTTTATCAATCGTTCGCATATTTTGACCTTTATTACCGATGGGTTCTGCATCCCAAGAGGCTATTGTGATATTAGGCAATAAGCTGTTATCCCAATCGTTTATAATAATACTTTCTAATTGCTCTGTATTGATAGACATATTCCCTTCGGCGTCATTAGCGTCACGATCACGCATTTCATTTACATGTCCAGCATGTAGATTTTTGTATTCGGCAGGTCGGTCATATTTTTTCTCGCCAATACTCTTATTATTTTTGTCCATAAAGTCCTGAAATTGCGAAACAACTGCGCCCATATGACTAATCGTGTCCGACAATGCTTGAATTGCCTCCTCATTCGACTGCTGTCCTTGCTGGAGATCCTCAATTTCTGTCGAAGCATCAAACGATTCGCTCGAATAGTGGAAGATATATCTGCAAACTTCCCTCTTTAGTTGATTTTCCTTTACTCCTTCAATAGTTAGGATGTTTTTATTCTTCCTCCATATGATAGAAGCGTTCTCAGCAACAAAATCCTTTTTATTGCCTCCTAGTTGAGACCAGGTACCATTCAGCTTCAAAGAGTCAGCTACAAAGTGTTTTAGTGATTCGAAATCACCCGTCCAGCATAGGCCAAGCGATTTAAATGTCGATTCGGTTTGCTTTCTGGTACGGTAAATTTCACCTGTACTCAAGGAATCATTATTGGCAAAGTCGAGTAACGAACTAGCTAAATTTTGACTCGGGTTAGCGGTGTTCAAAATAACACGTCTAACCGCCATGTATAACGACATGTTTACTCTATGACGAATTGTTAGATAATAAAGCTTTCAAATAAATACACAGTTTATATTACACAAAGCCCAGCTCCTAAGGCTCGGAACCAGCTCTTTAGGCACAGAGCCGAGCTCCGTAGGCTAGGAGCCTGCTCCATAGGCTCGGAGCCGAGCTACATAGGCTCGGAGCTGAGCTCCATAGGCTTGGAGCCAGTTCCATAGGCTTGGAGCCGAGGTCCATAGGCTCGAAGCCTAGCTCCATATGCTCGGAGCCGAGGTCCATAGGCTCGGAGCCGACCTCCATATGCTCGGTACCGAGCTCCTTAGGCTCGGATCCGAGTTCCATAGTCTCGAAGCGAGCTCATTAGGCCCGGAGTCAGCTCCAAAGGCTCCGAGGCGAGCTCCACAGGCTCCTTAGGCTCGGAGCCAGCTCCTTAGGCTCCGAGCAGAGAGTCCCTAGGCTCGGAGCCGAGCTCCTTAGCTTCGGAGCCGAGGTCCATAGGCTCGGAGCAGAGCTCGATAGGCTTGGAGCTTGGCTCCAGGCCTAAGGAGCTCGGCTCCAAGCCTAGGGAGCCTCTGCTCGGAGCTCCTAAGGAGCTGGCTCCGAGCCTAGGGAACTCCGCTCGGAACCTATGGAGCACGGCTCGGAGCCTGTGGAGCTGGCTCCTAGCCTAGGGAGCTGGTCTCCGAGCCTATGGAGCTCGGATCCGACCCTATGGAGTTGGCTGCGATCCTGGTGAGCTCGGCTCCGAGCCTATTAAGCTCGTGTCGGAGCCGATGGAGCTGGCTCGAGCCTAGGGTGCTCAGCTCCGAGCCTAAGGAGCTGGCTGCGAGCCTATGGAGCTCGGCTCCTAGCCTATGGAATTCGGTTCCGACCCTATGGAGCTCGGCCCCGCGACTAGGCAGCTCGGCTCCGAGCCTAAGGAGCCCAGCTCGGAGCCTAAGGAGCTGGCTCGGAGGCTAATGAGCTCGGCTCCGAGATATTAGCTGGGCTTTGTATAATATAAATTCGATTTTTATTTGAAAGATTTATTATCTAACAATTCGTTAAGAGTAAACATATCTCATTCATGCCATATCTGTGGAAAATATTTCTCTAAACCGTGGAATTTACATCGACACAAACGAAAAGTGCAGGATCAATAACCAACCGACAACATTCGCATTGTGACTAATGGGTCTGCAGTTTTACGAGGGTCTTAAAATCCTTTTAGATTTTCCATGGGGAGGGTATCAATAAAATTTTCTTGGGAAATGGGTTTAAATCTATTTTTCAGAGGGCCTACATACATTTCCAATACATTTCTATGGCGCTATCATGAATTTCCAAGAAAAGCTAAAATATTCCTTGCAAGTTCCATGTGGTGCATGGGCTAATTACATGTAATAATGCACCAGTCAATGTAAACCCCGCCCCCCCCCCCAAGCGGGGAGTGGCCGGGATTTTAACTTAGAGGGGTAGTGAAAGAGCGAAATTGTCCCTCCCCTGGGGAAAGGGTAGTTAATCAATGTCCCTGCATGTCTCTGAACTCCAGGAAAATACTTTTGTATATTTCATATAGTTCAGCAATAGAAAATCAAA